ATCAACATGTCGAGTAAGTTAATATTTGATGCTTTTTTTTTTAATTTTATTATTGTTAATTTGCGTTTTAAAATTATAGATAGAGGCTCTGAATTTTCGTACCATTAGCAAAATAACAGAGATGATACTTCGGGTAAGTTAATATATTGTACAATCGTTCTTTTTATTACTATTAACTTACAATCTAAATTTTTTATAGATGAAAGCATGGAACCCTTATACTATCAACATGAAAATAGCACCAATATGTCGAGTAAGTTAATATTTGATGCTTTTTTTTTTTAATATTATTATTGTTAATTTGCGTTTCAAATTCATAGATAGAGGCCCTGAATTTTCGTACCATCAGCAAGATAGTAGAAATAGTACTTCAGGTATATTAATATATAAGTTAATATGTTATACAATTATTATTTTTATTATCGTTAACTTAAATTCTAAATTTATAGATAACAACAAGGAATTCTCGTACTATCAAAATGAGAATAGCACCAACGTTTTGAGTAATTTCACATTTGATGTGATTTATTCTACTATATTTATTGTTACTAAAGTTTAGATTCATAGATAAAAGCCTGACACCTTCATGTTACCAGCAACCGAATAATGATGATAATGTTTTTGGTAAGTTTATAATGATATAGTTTATTTAAATATTTTTTATTATTAAATTGAACCTAAATTTGTAGATGCAAGCTTTGAACCACTATACCATCTACCTGATCATAATAATATCATTTCAGGTTAGTTTAAAAAGTCCAGTCTTGCTATATAATGCTATTTACTAATATTTTTACTCTTAGATAAAGACTCGGGACCATTACAACGGCAATTAGTTAACGTTAATGGTGGCAGCATTTTAGGCAAGTTCGTGGGATTTTTTTTATTTTATTTTATTTGTTTAATACTAATTATCATTAAATTTTTACTTCAGGTGAAAGCCTGAAATCTCAACCGATTAATGGTAGTGGCATTTTGAGTAAGTTCATAATTCCTTTTTTTATTTATGTATATTTTTATTCTTTAATAATCTTTCGAATTTTACACTAACAAACAGGAGATATCCCAGTTCTTACTGATGTTACAAATACTCCACATGAATTATTGCGAAGTGCAGCACGACAGAACCTTCAAATTTACACTAAGAAAATGGTAAATCAGATAACAAAAAAAAGAAAAATTGTCGAGTTTCATGTTGGTGACTTGGTATGGATTAATATTCCAAAAATTGATCGATTCGGAACTGATCGTCCTATGCTTCCTTGCAGAATTGTTGACATAATTGGCAACAAATATCAATTAGAGTGCAAATTTGGTATTATAAATATTTGTTACACATCAGGGGAACTTGAGTCTCTTGGAACCATCTCTTATCCCAATCTTAATGAAATCCCATCGCATGTGCTATCTGTTCGAGAGGCAGCAAGGCTTCAGAATGTAGGATTAGTGTCAAATGGTATTTGCAATTGCAAGGGGCCTTGTACAGTAGATACTGTCTAATTGCATACTGTCTAATTGCATATACTCTCTAAGTGCATAAAAAAATTTTGCTTTTAATTATTAATACTGAAATGGTTCTTATGATTTAAATGCATATACTGTCTATATACATAAAAAGTCTCTGACGGATGGCATGCAATTAGGCAGTATCGACTGTAATAACAATAAGTGTAAATGTAAACAAATGGATGAAAATTGCACAAGCAGATGTCATGGCGGAAAATCATGTTTAAATAAGGATTAATCTTAGCTGTAGTAAATTTAAATTACTTTTTTCTAGAGGCAGAAATTTAAATTACTTTTTTCTAGAGGCAGAAATTTCCTCATGAATTACTGTTAAAATTAAATAGTATTTTTTTTTTAATTGTATTGTGTAAAAATGTTAATTACATTATACCTTTATTTTTTTAAAAAAAATCTATTAAAGTTTAAGCAGTATACAAATATAATATGTTATTAATTTTAATTAATATAAGATAAAGAGAGTTATTATGGCAGGGGTGGGTAAAGTGATAAATTATATATTGAATGATATAAAAAAACATTCGATTTTGGTTAATAGGTTGTAAGATAATCATATACTTAATCTTTGTATAAAGCGAAAGATACTGCAGATTTATAAATTATTTTACTTTAAAAGTTAATTTTATATCGATCAATTGATCCACTACTTTACCCTCCCAGTGTTATAACTACTTCATACTAATAAAGTCTTGTGAATACTAGTCAACTTGATTTTTTTTTGATTTTCTAATTTAAACAGACAAAGAATTATATTATATCGAAATAAATTTGCATTAGTAATATTTAAAGTTTTACTATAAGCCTCCCTCTAACCTATATTTTAAACGATCAATTAATTATTTACTATTTGCCTCAGTTGACAACTGAGGTGCTTCAGATGACAACTGAGGTACCTCAGGTAACTGATCGATATGTGACGCACCTCATATAATGATTGACATCTGAGGTGTCTCAGTTATCACCTGAGGCAGGAACCGATATGAGGCACAACATATATATAAGTTAATAATATATATAAAAATAAAATTAATAAAATAATTAATTATATAGTAAAAAGTTTGATAAAGGAAAGCAAAAAGAAGTTATTAATGAAGTACAATAAAAGATAAAGAATTACAAATATTATCAGATAAGTTTATGCAATTAGACAAATTGCAAAAATGCAATCAAACAAATTTCAAGAACAAGAACAAAAAAGGAAAGATCAAATAGACTATTTAACTAAATTGTTATATATAGAAAAAAAAGATAAGTATATGGCAGTAGAAATAGAAGATTCTACATATAATACCATTAGATATTTCAGAAAAGAATCAGCTAAAAAAACAGAAGAACTTCGAAAATTAAGACAACAATTAAAACAATATGAAAAAGATCAAGAAGCTAAAGAAGTAGGAGAAAAACTTCAAAAGGAATAGGAAGAATAGTATTCTACAAATTGGAGACTAGAAAAATCACCTAACGAATTAAGAGTAGAATTAACTAAAGAAAAACAAAATTTGCAAGTAAAATTAGAGAAAATAAAAGAACTAGAAGAAGAAATAATAATAGTAAAAGAAGAACGACAAGGATTGAAAAATGAACTACAATAGTAAGAATAAAATTTTAACTTATAATTATTATAATTGAAATATTAACTTAGGAATCTAGGAGAGATTGGTGGATTGATCATGTGAAAGAAGAAAATAAACAACTTCAAAAAAATGTGAAATGTATAAAGAAAGTGAACATAGTTTGGGGTGGAACTTTGGACAACAATCAAGATTGGAAAGAACAAGAAATTGTTTCCACTAAAAGAAATCAAGATGAAGAGGAAGGAAATAGTACTATCAATGAAGATAGTATGAGAACGATCAGATGGGAAGACTATATGATGGATATAGAAGAAATACTACTTGAAGCAGAAGAAAGTGCTGAAGATAATAATACTATTGACTATTTAAATGAAATTGCATATAGAGAATAGGAACAAGAACAAGATATCAATGACAATAGTGTGAAAGATATGGACAATAAAATCTATCCAATCATTGCAGAAACAGAAGGAAGTGGTAGTTCTGAGATCCCTTGGTTTGAAAAAGAAGAAACATATTATAGTCAAATAGAAGCAAGGGCTTATTATGAAGCTCTTGAGAAACTTTTAGACGAAGGAGGTTTCTGTTAGTTTCATTATATTAGTTTTAATCTCATTATATATATTATTAAATAAATAAATAAATTCTCTTAGCTTTCTTTGTAAATAATATAAAATTTTGTATAAAATAAATAATTACTCGCAATAAAATTAGTTAATAGTATACTCTCTTAAATATAACTTAAATAGTAATAATAAATAGATTATAATATCTTTTATACTCATAATAACTATAACTTCTTAAATTCTTAATCGTAACTGATTATATTTTGTCCTTCTATTCATTAATAATTGGGATAGATAGCTTTACTTAATGTTGGAACTTGTTTATATTTACTTTTCACTTCCATTGCTTTCAAGTTGCAAATGTATAGCCCGAAATTGATCATAAAAAAAATTGTTATTAGAAACAGTATCTACCTAAGATTCTTTTAAGATATCCAATAGTCTTTTCGCTATTCATTAACAAGTGGAAAACCTAGATTAATTCTTCTTAACTTGATATATGTGATGAGTGTATATTATAAATTTCTAGTCCAATTTCGTTTAAGTAGATAAGTGATTTAGCACAAAGAATTTTATTTAGAATTGGAACCTCAATTTGAGTAATTCCTCATCGTATCCAAAAGTTTTCTCTTCTTCCATCCATAAATCATTCCGTTTAATGTATGAAAATTGGTATATTTTCTTGAAGAGAAATAAAGTTTTCTGATTCCAAGCCTTATTTGGATACTTCGATTAATTTTGTAATTCTTGGAGCTATGTAAGTTAAAACTTATATAAAATAGTACTTTAATATTAAACAGCTGAATTAGTAGGTAAGAGATGATTTGCAGAGTATAGTAGTAATGATAAGTAATATGCTATTGCTTTGTCCAACAATATTAAAAAAACTTTAATATATATATTTCTGTTAAAGTAGATGTTAGTAAAATGTTTTTTTTTTTTTAAAAAAAATTTTAAACTATAACCTTTATATACTACTCCTCTGTCTTATGTGATTCTTCCAGGATCACATTTCATAATCGGACCCAATATAATTTACATCTTAATAGTTTTATTTTATTTTATTTTTTTTAATACTATAACCCTTTTTAAGAACTTTTCTTAACAACAATTAACTTTTTGTTGTTTTAAAATGACAGTTCTTTTTGGTTTAGGCCGCAGATAAACTAGTCTGAGTCTCTTTTCTTGCTATCGTATGATATGAAGTTTAAGATGCAATTCTTTTCTGTATAAAAGATTTTAATTAAATTTCAATAAAGACAGAGACATGGTCTCACCATTAATATTCAAAAAAAAAAAAAATGACAGTTCTTTTATCTAGATCCATCATAATTCTTTAATTTGTAATTAATTTCTTATCCATTTTTGTTGAATTACGAGTTTTAATTACAACGTATCTCCGTATATCTAATCTTTTCATCATCTGATATTCTGTAGATAATTCTTTATGTACTTTCATCTCAGTCTTATCATTTCTTTCCAACTTGAGTTTCTGCTTAAATGGTGTATGGAATATTGTAAAAAGGATTGCTTTTGACTAATTCGATAATTTATATTTCTTCCTATACCATCCTAGTAACTTTTTACGAATGCTATTCGCAGTTGGTCTATTAAGAGGAATAGTATCTATATATTGATTTGCCAATTAAATATAGTCCTCAGGAGTGTCTTAAGTTTAGCCGTTCATTTCGAGATTATTACCCACTTAAATTCTCTTATGAAATTTCTTCATAATCAGGTAAAGTTTCAAGGTGAGTTATAGAACCAAATCTCTTTCATTTGAACATTTATTCAAAGAGATCTACTCTATTATGTGCATCATGATCCTTAACTTTAAGTTGAGATTCTTTAATACAATCGTCGATGTCCTTATTTCCATTTGTCCATCCCTGAGTTGTCTTCCAAGAGTCATATGTTTGACACTATCCATAAGATATGTAATTGCACATTTCCTATTATTTAATTGACGATTCTCCAGTCAACTGAAGAATGATCATAGTAAAACGTGATGCGGTTCTATATATAAATTACTATAGGTGCGAAAGTAGAAATTTTCTAGTAATTGTCCAAAGAAAACTTTTTTTTGTACT